ATGAAATTATTCCACTGTTTCTGAAGTCACACTTTTCCATCTTCAGAAGTCTTGGCTTTAGTTTTCATGGAGTTGCTGTCCTGCAGACAGTCTCTGAACACCATGTGTATTTTCTCCATAAATAGGGTGTCATGTTGATAAACACAGTTTGATCTCCCAGTTGGAGCAAGAAGACAAGACGGTGACAGAGGAGAGAGGAATCCTTCCCAGCACCTGTCCAGGTGAGCACCAGGTAGATATGAGTCCTTGTGAGGAGCGGCTGTGGCCAGGGACTCAGGAGTTGGGAGTATTATCAGAGAATTTGTAAAATGACAAAGACGGACAAGGAAGTTTCTTGTGTACTCTTTTTCTTTTCTCGTCAGTTCTCCATCATCTCATACTTTACTTTTGCTCTAGGGAGAACCTAAAATGCAGCTGTTTTCTAAATTTAAATCCCACTTTTCTTTTCTGATAATACCTTGTTAGTCTTTTATTAATCTTTCTAGAATCCTTTATTTTAATTAGTGCATGATAATTATACATAGTAGATTCATTATGATATGTTTGAACATGTACATAATATAATTTGATCAACTTAATGTCCTTCCCTTCTTCTCCTCCCCACCTCTGATCCCCTTTCTTTATTCTCCTGGTCTCCCTTCTGTGAGGTCCCTTTTTAAATTTTTTTTTTCTCTCTAGCTTCCACATTAGAATTGTTTTTTAAAAAACTAATACCTAAAATTTCCATAACGAAGCCCCCTTCATTGCAAACCCCCTCCTGGACCAATTGCAGTCATGTGGTGGTCTTTTCTTTTCCTCATCCACATAAATTTCTTTTCAATTTGTTTCAGATTTGGATACTGTACTTAAAACCAAATGGCTGACTCCTAAGAAGCATGTTTTTAGAAAAGAACAGACTAAAAGTATAAAAATGGTAAGACAATGGATGATTTCTGGTTTTCCATAGTAGGAAGAAATCCCATCCTAGAAAAGAAATAACCCAGACATTCATTGTGGAAAGTGTCATTTACACTTGAGAAAATGGTGTCCCTAGAGAGATACTGCAAAATTGCTGTGACTTTGGAGAAAAGTGTAAGTTAACTTCTAACTTGTTTCTTCACCGAGTGTTCTCACAAATAATTATTTCATTAAATGTGACTCAAGTTTTGTGCATTTGAAACATAAATTGGTCTTAAATTTATCAGAAAAT